GAATTTTAATGTAGGTGCTGGTAATGTGCGTACGTTAATATTATTTTTATTTCGACGCGTCAAAATTATGTTAAAATCCAACAGTATCGATGCCAAATCGATCATCGAAAAAGCAAGATTATTACTCGTTTTGAATTTTGTTCCCTATAGGAAACTAACACATGCACATAACTGGCTCAATTTCATTGTTACTAGTACAGAATGTTTCATAAAATACACTCGCAATACTTCATACTGAAGTGATCACGTTCTCATGAAACAGCCTGCGTAGGACTCCCCTATTGCAATATCCATGCATGATTCCGTGACGCAATGCTTCTCGCTAAGGGGAGCAACGTGTATCTCAATAGACAATTCCACAGACTTTCGACTATCGATAACACAATAATAAATACGTAATCTAGTATATACCGTTGCTGCAAGCAGACAGATTTAATTTTCTACTTGCGTTCCATTCGACAAACCCACGATAGAGACACACCACTGCGAGGAACGACCACAAAGTGACATAATTATTTAAACGATTGCTGTTGCAGATCCTTTAAACTCTCGTATACCCAAACGGGTCTCTAATACTATGTTAAAAAGTAGATCACAGACGACAGGTAATGATAGTGATTCTTGCTTTGAAATATAAGAGAAATGAGCGAGAATCGAGTAAGAATCGAATTTTCGTTAGCGTCAGAGATGGATGAGAGGCAGACAGACAGACAGACAGACAGACAGACAGACAGACAGACAGATATAGACAAACAGACAGAGACAGGAACATCGAGATAGTTATCAAGTTACGTTATATTATAATATGTATAGACAGAGGCAAGAGCGAAACTAAAGGTATAATACAATCTCTTTTTTCAATACCACTACGCATTCTTTAATTCGTTAACACACCCATGTTCAGTGTAATCGATGTCTGTCGAATGTAAAAATGTAGGCACTAACAGGACGTGTTTGGGTGCTTCAGAGGGGGGGGGGGTTTACACATGGGAGTCAGACTCTCTTTTCTAATTCTGGTAGTAGGGAAGCAATCTGGGGGGGTGACATCAAGTTCTAATCTAAAATATTTAATAATATTCGTCCTTTTGATGAAAGACTCGTTGCAACTACCGTATCGATGCAGAGTTCTACGTATCTTGCATTCTAGTTTTTCATGCAAAAAGTACTGTGCATCGAGGACGTTCCTTTATTGTTTTTAATGCATCATCGACTGGGTATCGATCGCGTTCTGGCCTCCCTCGTTCCGAGCAACAGATAAATTGTTGCACCAGAGGTACTGAAGTTTCCAACGACGCTCGTTTAAAATTGCTTTTAGCTCACAGACAAATTTTTATATAGAGTCCTTTTAAAAGTTAGTCAATGGACTTTTGATGCTCGACGACGAATACGTTAGATCAAATTGAGAATACTGCTTAGAACGAGACTCGTGGTCGTTATCGTTTTTATACGATTGCTGAGTAAAAGTAAATTCTGGACGACGGTATTTCTCGATACGTCGGTCGATAATGCATTAAAAGTTAAAAGTTCAGCAGTGGAACAGTTTCCGCCGCAGCGGAGACAGAAAGTACGATTCCCTGGTCGAGCGTACAATCGGTCAAGTTACTCGTATGAGAGCTTCCCGAAGTTCGTTCCTTTTGCTTGTTAATTACCGGGAGTAGCTCCACCGGAAGGGATGCGTTTTAATCCGACTGACAAACAGGTTCTACCCAGGCCAGGGCAGCAGGCAACGAGCTTCCTTTATTTTCAGCTCATGCCAAATGCCAGAGAACGCTACTAATATAGAATCCACTTTAAACTCGCGTGCATTTCTATTAGAAATTGTTTATCGTACACATTTATAACTATTTTTTTTCCAACAGACTGAACATTTTTTTATTCACTGTTCATCTTGCTTCCCTGCTACTGTATTAAAACTTTTACCTACGTAAATCCTATGTAAAGAAATCTCTCATGTGAAACTGATATGTTTTCCTCATAATTATTTAGATTTTATTTATTAACGAAACTAAATCTTTTACGTCTTTCTCTCTTTCATCTACAATAATTAATCACTGGTAATAGAAACGTGATTAAACCATCGAATTATTTTTGACGAACTACCAAAAATAAAATTGAACAATTTAAGAACTGTTCGAATAAAAATCCTCTCAGTTCTTTAGTTTGGTAATAGAAATGTGATTAAACTATTGAACTATTTTTGACAAACTACCAAAAATAAAATTGAACAATTTCAGAACTTTGAATTTTCGAACAAAAATCTTCTCAGTTCTTTAGTTTGGTAATAGAAACGTGATTAAACTATTGAACTATTTTTGACAGACTACCAAAAATAAAATTGAACAATATAAGAACTGTTCGACCAAAAATCCTCTTCACAGAGGAAGTCAGAGAATCATTTTTGATTCATCTCGATATTTCAAAGTTAAGATTCAGAGTTTGTCCGACTGACACAGTGACCCAGTTATGGGGGTGTCTCGATGTCTAGACCGGTTGGCCGAGATTAGGGAAGTCCAGGAAAAGTGTCGATCAACGTGCGAGAACGACAGAACAAATTATTCTTCATTATTATCGACGGTATCTCCAGAACCAAACATCGGATCGAGATGAATTAAACTACTTTTCCGCCTTGAACATAATTATTGCAAAATGACCGTCGAATCTTTACATTTTTTTCTCCTCGATTTATTATAAGCTTTGGGCTTATTCACGAGCTCCTTTTTCCAAGAGAAATCACGTACACAGCGACGGACTAACGTGTATGCAATGAGATATCGAAATGTGTCGGAAACATAGTAACTCTTAGCTTAAGAGGAAAAGAGGATAGAATTGTGGTGGCCAGCGCAGCTGGGATGTACGATGCAAAAACGGACGAAACCACGCTCAGGAGAACGTGCGCCGCTTCAACTGGAACTTTCTTAATCCCCTGTGGTCAGACCGTATATCGAATTTTACTCTAATCTCATCTTATAAGCAAGGAATTTTAAACAAGATGTTTGATTCAATCAAAAAAATTGTAGACGTGAGGGATTGTAGCGAACGGAAACCGCACGAGGGATCGGGGAGAAGGAACGGATGATTAAAACGAGCATATTTCAAGAGCAATATTTCAATTAGACCGTCGGTATTTCTTAGCTAACGGCCGGGGCGGGGATTAAAAGCTCTCGAAACCGGTCACGAGGGAGAGAAATCCGAGGGAATTCAACGCCGTCTTCGGCACCGGAATTCCCTTTGGGGCCGCAGACCGTATCAAAGGAGAAAAACAAAATGCTCTGCGGTCTTGTCCGTTCGTTCTCCGTTCCCAACGCCAGTTCCTCGTTGCTCTACTTCCCGATCAATCCCTTCGCTACGATTTACAATCCCATGGGCCTCGGTACAAAACACGAGACGTTTTAAATTAATAAATTCGATTGGATAAATCAAACAAATCATCTTAACCCTTTGCACTGGAGGCCTTTTGCGAACCAGCAACTCGAGACGATTTCGGCTATATTAAAGAAGAACTTTAGGGGTACAAATCNTCGATGCAGAGTTCTACGTATCTTGCATTCTAGTTTTTCATGCAAAAAGTACTGTGCATCGAGGACGTTCCTTTATTGTTTTTAATGCATCATCGACTGGGTATCGATCGCGTTCTGGCCTCCCTCGTTCCGAGCAACAGATAAATTGTTGCACCAGAGGTACTGAAGTTTCCAACGACGCTCGTTTAAAATTGCTTTTAGCTCACAGACAAATTTTTATATAGAGTCCTTTTAAAAGTTAGTCAATGGACTTTTGATGCTCGACGACGAATACGTTAGATCAAATTGAGAATACTGCTTAGAACGAGACTCGTGGTCGTTATCGTTTTTATACGATTGCTGAGTAAAAGTAAATTCTGGACGACGGTATTTCTCGATACGTCGGTCGATAATGCATTAAAAGTTAAAAGTTCAGCAGTGGAACAGTTTCCGCCGCAGCGGAGACAGAAAGTACGATTCCCTGGTCGAGCGTACAATCGGTCAAGTTACTCGTATGAGAGCTTCCCGAAGTTCGTTCCTTTTGCTTGTTAATTACCGGGAGTAGCTCCACCGGAAGGGATGCGTTTTAATCCGACTGACAAACAGGTTCTACCCAGGCCAGGGCAGCAGGCAACGAGCTTCCTTTATTTTCAGCTCATGCCAAATGCCAGAGAACGCTACTAATATAGAATCCACTTTAAACTCGCGTGCATTTCTATTAGAAATTGTTTATCGTACATATTTATAACTATTTTTTTTCCAACAGACTGAACATTTTTTTATTCACTGTTCATCTTGCTTCCCTGCTACTGTATTAAAACTTTTACCTACGTAAATCCTATGTAAAGAAATCTCTCATGTGAAACTGATATGTTTTCCTCATAATTATTTAGATTTTATTTATTAACGAAACTAAATCTTTTACGTCTTTCTCTCTTTCATCTACAATAATTAATCACTGGTAATAGAAACGTGATTAAACCATCGAATTATTTTTGACGAACTACCAAAAATAAAATTGAACAATTTAAGAACTGTTCGAATAAAAATCCTCTCAGTTCTTTAGTTTGGTAATAGAAATGTGATTAAACTATTGAACTATTTTTGACGAATTAACATAAATAAAATTGATCAATTTCAGAACGTTGAATTTTCGAACAAAAGTCCTCTTAGTTCCTTAGTTTGGTAATAGAAATGTGATTAAACTATTGAACTATTTTTGACAAACTACCAAAAATAAAATTGAACAATTTCAGAACTTTGAATTTTCGAACAAAAATCTTCTCAGTTCTTTAGTTTGGTAATAGAAACGTGATTAAACTATTGAACTATTTTTGACAGACTACCAAAAATAAAATTGAACAATATAAGAACTGTTCGACCAAAAATCCTCTTCACAGAGGAAGTCAGAGAATCATTTTTGATTCATCTCGATATTTCAAAGTTAAGATTCAGAGTTTGTCCGACTGACACAGTGACCCAGTTATGGGGGTGTCTCGATGTCTAGACCGGTTGGCCGAGATTAGGGAAGTCCAGGAAAAGTGTCGATCAACGTGCGAGAACGACAGAACAAATTATTCTTCATTATTATCGACGGTATCTCCAGAACCAAACATCGGATCGAGATGAATTAAACTACTTTTCCGCCTTGAACATAATTATTGCAAAATGACCGTCGAATCTTTACATTTTTTTCTCCTCGATTTATTATAAGCTTTGGGCTTATTCACGAGCTCCTTTTTCCAAGAGAAATCACGTACACAGCGACGGACTAACGTGTATGCAATGAGATATCGAAATGTGTCGGAAACATAGTAACTCTTAGCTTAAGAGGAAAAGAGGATAGAATTGTGGTGGCCAGCGCAGCTGGGATGTACGATGCAAAAACGGACGAAACCACGCTCAGGCGAACGTGCGCCGCTTCAACTGGAACTTTCTTAATCCCCTGTGGTCAGACCGTATATCGAATTTTACTCTAATCTCATCTTATAAGCAAGGAATTTTAAACAAGATGTTTGATTCAATCAAAAAAATTGTAGACGTGAGGGATTGTAGCGAACGGAAACCGCACGAGGGATCGGGGAGAAGGAACGGATGATTAAAACGAGCATATTTCAAGAGCAATATTTCAATTAGACCGTCGGTATTTCTTAGCTAACGGCCGGGGCGGGGATTAAAAGCTCTCGAAACCGGTCACGAGGGAGAGAAATCCGAGGGAATTCAACGCCGTCTTCGGCACCGGAATTCCCTTTGGGGCCGCAGACCGTATCAAAGGAGAAAAACAAAATGCTCTGCGGTCTTGTCCGTTCGTTCTCCGTTCCCAACGCCAGTTCCTCGTTGCTCTACTTCCCGATCAATCCCTTCGCTACGATTTACAATCCCATGGGCCTCGGTACAAAACACGAGACGTTTTAAATTAATAAATTCGATTGGATAAATCAAACAAATCATCTTAACCCTTTGCACTGGAGGCCTTTTGCGAACCAGCAACTCGAGACGATTTCGGCTATATTAAAGAAGAACTTTAGGGGTACAAATC